TGAAATCCGAGGCAGCTTAGTTTTAACTGCTAAGAAAACCAGTTGTAAAATTAACTGATGTCCCACCCATATTGACGATCGCGAGGCAAAAAATTCCCCATTCCCTCCGCCGGTCGAATTGCACGCAAATACTTCTATCATCGAAAAAATGGAGTCATGATAAAGTTATTTAAAGTTGAAGTTGAAATTAAGTTTGCTGAAGAGCACGATACCGGCTGTTTTAGTTGAGGGTCGCTGTGATTGTTTGAGAGGCACCTAAGCGGATTCGCTGAAGGAGATAAGAAATGCGTTGAAATCCGCGGCCTATGCATTCAAGTAAAGTGTGGAGAGTAGTCTGTGCAGCCGAAATTCCAGCTGCAGGAGAACTTAAACTTTCCATTAAATAACTGCATATACCGGGAAACTTCTCACTATTAACTGACTTGCTCAGTGTACTCTGAAACCCTTTTAATCTTGGAGGGTTTGGTTTTATTCTCCATAAGAAGCTAAGCATTCAACCAATTGAAAACAAACATTGGTGCTACTAATCCATATTTCCTCGGCTTGCTTGTTCGGAACAACCTTTTTCCATTTTGTACTTCGCATGGAACCCAAAACTCCTGAACCACCTCCCTGATTTCCTCGCCCCCCTGTTTACGCGTTCATAAGCAATATGAATAACTTTATTGTTTGGTTGCAAAGTCCATCTGCTGTATTGAGTACTCTTCCGTCATAAATAGCTTTTTTTAAGTTTCACAGTTACAGTGAATATAGAAACGAAACACCCATATTAGAGTGCAGTACCCTATACGATTTCATTCTATAAACGGATTGTTTTATTAACCACCTGTAAGTGTGGGCCACTGCATCCGCTAACACCAATTCAGGCTCCTCTCTAATCGGGAAGAGAAACCCTAAGTTTATTATTTTACCTGTGTTTTAAAGTTGCAGATGTCGCAAAAAAATGATTAAATACATGTCGCTATTTATAGCGCCACGAAGATATGAATAATTTTAAAGTTATTTACCAGACCACTCATTTTTAGCGCTTTTCAATGCAAATCACGACAAAGCGTGAACCCCGTGGGTGCTGTTTTTTAGTTATATGGCGTTACACATGTGCTAATTACATTTTAATAATTGATTCCTAATGATACATTGCCTCTGAGGATTGAAGAGGCTGATGCGATTTATTGTTTACGATGCTAACAATATTACAAAACGCCTGTCAATTGTGGTTCAGAGCCGAATAAAAGGTTCGAAAATTTAATTCAAACCAATTGAACAATTGACGATATGTCGCCGTTACTACGAATTTGTGAATGAAAAATTTGAATGCAAAGTAAATTTGAAAGCATGTTATAATTGGAGGATACTGACTCACAAGCGTTGTAATATTATAATTTGTGCATCTTAAGCCAAATGCTCTAGCATAGCGGTCCCGTAAGTTGCACCTCCGCCGAAACATCCACCAATTTAGCTAGATTTTCGATCCTACTGTCTTGACGATATATGGAATAGCTCCCGGCCCAAAGATTTATGATTTGATGAAGCGTTAGGTACAACCTGGATCTCTGTAAAAGAGAGTGTGTTTTGATCATAGTTAAGACACATAGGCAAATAACAGAACTCTAGAAATGGGCAATATTTAAAAGGCGATTAACTTGATTTAGCTTGAAATCAGTGGCTAAAATGTATAGAAGATGCTGACAACGTGTTGTACAAACCAGAGGTGACATTGTAAATCAAACACCGTGTTTTAGAGAATAGACGTGCTCCCGAGACGAGAATAACCTCCCTTTGTACTAATTCTGCACCCTATCCCTAGCATTGGATACCCTTATGACCATTGAAGTAACCAAATGAAGACAGACACCTGAGGAGTAGGTCGAGGAGGAAGTTCATCGAAAATTCTGTGGAGGCTACAATGGCTTAGGCAGTCAACAGGAGTTATGAACAGAGTGCAATGCTTTGTATATATATATATATACATATATATATATATACTATTTGGCAGTGATTTTCGTATACTTCCCTTTCCCGTACCCATGAACTGGACTTCGGGCCAAGCCAAGGCTAAAAACCTTCTTTTCCTGCTACTAGAAAACACGTATTCAGTCAAACTCAATGCCTCTTTCCACCAAGTGGGAAGTCTTGATGCGCTACAATAAAAATTAATTTAGAATAACGTAGTGAGGTAATATTTGGAATATTCTGGAAATTCACGAGTTGATCGATCAAAACATTAATATTAATAGCATTAATAGGTCTAAGTACGAGTGAACCATTTAAATTATACAATCGTAATAAATTGCATATGCCAAAGCTGGCCTTTTGACAAAGCCAAGTCTCCATCCTTCCTTCTCTCTCCCAATATACATGCATTCGACCCATCTTAATGCCTTCTTCTACTTGGTGGGAAGTCTCCGGGCGCTACACTAGGGCACCGAAAAGCAAACTCTACATTTTTACGAATCCTATCCTATCATCCACCGTTTGTGGC